TCCTGCTGCTGCCATCAGCATCTCAGGGTTCCTCACTCTATCCTCCAGCTTCTTCTGCCTGCCCCACCCCGATGATGGAACAAAGTGTGCAGCCAGGCCCGGTGGAGGGACCTGGGACCCTGTGTGGCACCGTGGGGTAGTGGAGTCCCACATGGCATAGCATAGTGGAGCATGGGGTGGTGGCTCATGAAATGGTGGCCAGACACTGATGCATTGCAGTTGGGGGTGCCCACGAAGCATGGCATACGGCCTGGGAGGCATGTGTCCAGTGCAGTGTGGCCAAAAGGCCTGCAGCCCCAAATCACTCAGAAGTTAGAGAGCCCTGCAATACAGTATTCAGCCACTGGATTTCACTGGGATGCAGTGTCCTCGTACATGGGGGCTGGAGGGGCTGCAGCTAAAGGAGCTAGATGGGTTGTCTGGTGACCCTAGGGAGTTGCAGGGAGCCCTTGCGCTGTAGCAAGAACCATCTAGGAAAGGATGCAAGCAACAAATCCAGAACTTGCATCTCCTTCTCTGAAGCCAGGGTCTCACTGGACGAGCAGGGTGCTATGTGCAAGAGCGGGGTCAGGGAAAGCAGGGCAGGGAGTTACAGTCTCTTACCCGTCCCCATCAAGAAAGACCTGGGCATCACTCCAGAGGGGCAGCACCATCCCCAGGGTGCAACTGGAGGAGCTGGGGCAGAGAGAAGAGAGTCAGACCATAGGGTATGGGGAAAGAGGAGAAGAGGTTCCTATGCCCCCAAACAAGGGTCCTCTGGAGTTCTGCTCCCTGCCCCACCCCCTGATCTCACTCCCATCCAGGTCACCAGGGCTGAGAGCCCACAGACCCTCCATGCCCTCCCTTCTGCTCCACAACCCATACAGTACCCCTCCTACACCTGCTGCCTTGCTCCCGCCCAGCTCCCCTCCCCTGCCACCCCTCTCCCTCCTCCTCACCCCTCTTCAGGGAAGTCCACACCCAGAAGCACCGTCTCGCTCTCACCCTCTTTCTCCTCTGTCGATACAACCAGCAGGTACCGGATCCGGTGGGGCTGGGCTGACTCCAGCCGCACAGCCTGCAAGGGGAAAGCCAGACTCACATCTGCCCCTCTGGGGTTCATTGCTGCCTGGATGTCACAGCACCCCCTGCTGGGCAGGGCAGGCTCCGCCCCCTCCCCAATGTCACAGTGCCCCCTGCTGGGAAGGGTGGAGCTAGGCAGGGCAGACTTTGCCCCCTCCCCTGGTGTCTCACCCTATTGCTGGGGAGGGTAGGTCTGGGCAATGCAGGCTCTGCCCCTCCTAATGCTACAGCGCTGCCTGCTGGCTGGGCAGTAGTTTATCAGCCCAGGATCAGTGCCTGGTAGCAGAGGAGCAGTACAGATGGGCACTGGGTCCCTGCACTGCCCAGCTCCCCCTGTGAGGTGTAAGGGGACCGTGACTTCTGCACATGGGCTCCTGGGCTCCAGAGAGGGGTGCCCAGGGTGGAGGGCAGCATGACTCAAGTCTTGCTGGGACTGGGAGGGCAGCTCCGAGCAGCTCCAGGAAACTGCCTTCAGTGAGTCCCCAGGGCCGGGGCTGGGCTGAGGCCCGGCAGCACGGCCAGCTTTGGCTGCCAGCCCAGGAGACGGAAGCGAGAGCCCCACAGCCATAAATGGGGAACTGGCTGCAGCTCTGGACCAAGTGCATGCAGAAGAAGGAGAATCCAGAGACAGACAGGTCCCCTCCTCCACAGCCTCCACCCACCCATCCACCCACGCAACCTCCATCCTGCCTGCCCAGCCCCCTGCCAGCAGGGGGCACTGTGACATCAGGGAGGGGGTTGGACCCTGCACTGCTCAGCCCTGTCCACCCCCACAGGGGGTGCTGATCCATGCCCCCTCCCCTGCCCCCCAGCCTGCCCCAGCCTCTGGTGCCATGTGGCTGGGAGGAGGTGCTTGTGCTGTAAGAGGGGTTAATGATTCTTTGCTCAGGCTGGGTCGGTGCCAGGGATGTGGGGGGGAAGGGGACGGTAATAGCAAACAATGAGTAATGCTTGGGCAATGGTCAGGCAGCAGCAGCCCAGCGCCTGCCAGGGAGGAAGTCAGGCTGGGCCACAAGGGCTGGGGATGGGGCAGGACCAGGTGCAGAGAGTAACAGGGGCAACGAATGGGAGCAGAGGGAGACCCAAGAGGGCAGGCTGAGGCCCCTGTTCAGCCACCAAATCCTCCCCAACCATCTCCCCTTGAGTCTCGATTGCAGCTGCAGAGCTCAGCCGCTGGCTCAGGGCCATGCCTTCTGCCCCTGGTGGTTGGCTAAGGCCAGTTCTGCCACACTGCTGCCCGGATGTTCTGAGCAGCTCTCAGCAGAACAGGAGCCCAGAGAGAAGATGGAAAACAGCCGGGACCCCCTCCCCATGCACTGCACTAGCTGGAAACTGCCTGGAACAGGACAGAGACTGGTCTGGCATGGAGTGGAGTATACTAGGCTGGTTGCACCTGCTGGGCTGGGCTGGGCTGGGCTGAGCTAGACAGACTTGCTGGATGGGCTGAGGGCAGGGATAAGCTGGGCTGGGCTAGGCTGGGTGAGGCCACTTTTTGGGAGCAGGAAGTGGTGAACATGTGGGACAAGGCTAGAGGTGGGGAGTCCCTCATCTGCCCCAAGCAGCCAGTGCCCCAGCCACTTGGCCACCCGGGCTCACCAGGCAGATGGCATCCTCTGGCCGCAGCAGCCTCATCATCAGGTGCAGGTGCTGCTCCTGCTGGCCTGGGGTCTGGTTCTGGATTTGCTCTGGTGGGGGTGACATCTCCGACACCGTCTCCAACTTCTCGTCCTCCTGCAGCAGCAGGGCGGCCCCTTTGACCATAACGAAGCTCTGCCTGCAGGAGACAGGTGAGGGTGGGGGATCGTGGGGGGTACAATATAGGTGTGAGACAAAACAAGGCATGTGCCCGAGTCTGCAGGCAGGCAGCAACCATCCAGAATGCAGCCCAGTTGCCTGACAGCAAACTAACAGACACATGGTCAGTCTCGGGGCAGCAGTTCACAGCAGCAGGGGGCAGCAGTGACACTGACTGGAGCAAGTGAACTTCATAGTGGGGCTCTGAGGTTAATCTAGAGGGAAGGGGGCATTCAGGCTTCCATGGGGTGGGGAAGAGGCGCACCTGCTTCCACCCCACAGCCAGGGCAGAGAGCCCCTTGATATGGGCAGGACCTAACTATATAGATATATATATAGGGAGGAATCCAGGGCTGAGGGGATCCCAGCATCCTCAGCTGGCACCTGTCCCCAGCTAAGCACTGCCTTGCATCTCATCTTCCCTGGGGATGGCATGGGGCTGGGTGCCAGTCCCCACCAGTTATGGGAGGGGGAGTGTAAAGGAGGCGAGTGGATCAGCTCCTCACCGGCGCTGCAGCTGACTCCTCCTGGAAACTTCTTCATCCTGCAAAGGAAGCAGAGTTCATGGATCACACTCTCATTGGGCACAGGGCAGGGTAGCTGGTCTGGGTGAGAAATAGGTCCACATGATGCAAGCAGCACCTCACATACCAGTGGGCATAATCTGGTAGCACAGGGCTCTGCTGAGACAGCTGGGTGCCAGGCTCACTGACTCCTGCCTCCCCTGGTGCCACCCATTCCAGCTGGGTGACCCAGAGGGCTGCTCTAGAGAGGCAGGGCTGGCCTGAGTGCTGCAGCTCCTGGTTATAGAAGCTAGAGCCAGAACCCAAGCAACTGCTTGCTTTGCCAGGCAGCCTGTGGGCCTTGCTAGCTCCCATAACTCCAGGAGGTGACAAACTAGAGCCCTAGATCCAGAGGTGACAACAGGTCACCAGAGCCAGCCAGGGACAGGCACAGCTAGGAATTCCTACTGCATGGCCTCAATTGCTTTCCTTTCAACAACCAGAGAAACTCCCAGCCAAAAACTCTGTGAAGCCCAGGACTGAGTTCACAGGCAGCATGCAGCACAACAAAATGGGAACCTTTGCCCGGAGAGACCTGGCATGGCAGGAGCGGGGGGGAGGGGCATTCAGTTCCCTGCTACTTGCAAGTCCCCACATCTGCTCCATCCCACCACTCACCCCTCTTTGCCCCCTGCAGGGAAAGACTGTCACCCTGGCCTCAGTGCTGGCACCACCGTGTCCCCTGGTGTCTGCATGGGTTTCACACAGGGGAATCCCTGCTCAGTCTGTGGAGGTTACCTGCCAGAAAGGGCTTGCCCCTGAGAGGTGGAGGTGATGGGGTAGCAGGAGCAGATGTGTGGCTGTTGCTTTGGTGAGGCCAGGTCTGGGAAGGATGTGGGAGACCACAGCACAGCTTCCACAAATGCCCTTAACTCTGACACCCAGTGCAGCAGCATCTTGGGGTCACTCCATCCCTGGGGGCCAGGAGCCCACCCCAAACCTCTGTACTGGGAGGGTCCTAGCAGAGCACAAGAAGATCAATTCACCTGTAGAGGAAACTAAAGTGGCATGATCTGGGCTCAGGCTGACCTCCCATTGCCAACTGCAGCAGGGATGTGGGCATGTGGTCCAGAGGCTCAAATGGTGCCTCCCACCTGCTTCTGGCATCAACTCCAGCTAGAAGCAGGTGGGAGGCACCAGAGGCTGAGCAGGTACCAAGGTCCTGGGTTCAACCTGTATATCGAGGGCCTCCCCGCTCCTCACTCCTGTCTCCCAGCCCATGCTCACTATTTCCTCTTGACATTTTTTAAGCGTGGAAAAAAATAAGAAATGTCTCTGCCCCTTCCTGGCCAGGGGCGCCTGGTGCAGCCAAAGCGATCAGGCCTGAGCTATATGAGCTTGTGTAGCAGGGTGGGCCTGTGTGTGTGTGTATGTTGGTGCTAATGTCCCAAAATAAAGATCACACTGGGTGTAGGTGTGAATGCTCGTGTTAATCCCCCAGGGGTGGGATCACACTGGGCAGCGGGTGTGGGGGGGTGGGTGCTGGGAGTGTGAATCCCTGTGTTAATGCACCCGGTGGAGTTGCACAGGGTTGGGTTGCATGTGTGCAAGTGCGTGTTGTGTGTGTGAAGGTGGGTACTACCGCCCCAAAATAAGCAGCTCACTGGG